ATATATATATATATATATATATATATATATATATATATATATATATTAAAAGGACAACTGAAGATACTCAGTTAGTCTAGAAGTTATTTAGCAATTATACACATTATTCCTAAGCTTTTCAGAATGCCAGCATTCTAGGGAGAAAAGTGTTATGCCAAATTGGAAAAATTTCAGCTGTTTTCTATTCTGGGGGGCGGGGTAGTGATGGTAGCCACCCAGGGGCAGCCTTTTTATTATTAGGTTAATGTGTGAGTTGTTTGCTTTAAACATCTTCTAGAAATTCATTTAAAGTGCTTTTTCGAAAAAAGACATTTTTATTGTAGTTATGGGTATATGTGTGTCTCTGTGTAGGCACACATGAGTTTGAAGGCCCATGATGGCCTGAATAGGGTGTCAGATTCTCTGAGCCGGAGTTACAGGTGGTTTTGAGCTGCTCTTTGTGGGTGTTAGTAATGGAAGTCCTCTGCAAGAACAGTATACACTCAAAACCACCGTGCCACCTCTCCAGCCCCTCCAATTCATTAAAAAATATTAAAGAGAAAATTACTTAGTTTATGTGTATGAGTGCTTTGTCTGCATGCATGTATGTGAAGCACATGCAGCACCGGGCCCAAGAAAGTCAGGAGGGCATCCAGGAGTCATACACGGCTTTGAACCATCATGTGGGTGCTGGACCCTGAACTCAGGTCTTCTGAAAGAGCAACAAGTGTTCCCAATCACCGGACCATGTCTCAGACCTCCCAGGTGCATTGTTTTATTTTTTATTTTTTGAGACGGGGTCTCTTTATGTAGTCCTGGCTGTCCTAGAGCTTATCATGTAGACCAGGCTGGTATCTAACTCACAGAGATGCTCCTGCCTCTGCCTCATGAGTACTGGGATTAAAGTCATGTGCCATCACTCTCAGCAACAAAGTTCGTTGTTTTGAAGGAAAATTTTGGGTAATAGTATCATGTTATCAGGTTTTGAACGTAGAATATGTATAGATTAGGTTGGTCTGAACTCCCGATCTTCCTGCCTTAACTTTCAGGCATTTTACAGTCCAGTTTTATAGCAGTTAAGATAACCTTTTAAACAGTTTGTCATGCAGCTAATAGGATGATTAGCATTGCAGTTTGTGGAAGGTTGATGAGATTCTGAGTTTTGATGATGGAGAATGGGATAATGGCTTAGTTTAATAGTTAATATTAGTATGCTAATATGCTTAACAATTACCTGGTACAAATAGATTAACTTGTGTGAGTCTTGGCTCAGACTTCCAAGTGCTGGATTACTGGTGTGAACCACCGGACCTAGTAAGTAGATGAATTTCTTGATTTCTGTTTTCTTATTTTCAAAAAGGATGGAGTGAATAATAACTATCTTGAGTAATTTAATGTTAAAAATTATATTTATTTACTTTTTTTGTGTTGTGTATGAGTGTGTCATGGCATAGTTGTAAAGAACCTAAATTCTAGTTGTGGAGAACCTAGAGAACCTAGGTTCAGTTCCCAGCACCCACAGTGCAGCTTATGGCAACCTGACCCTCTTAAGTTAATTTAAAAAATAATGTATTTATTATTATTTTATGTGTGTAAGTGTTTGCCTGCATGTTTGCATTTGTGCCATGTGTGTGCCTGGTGCCTGAAGAGGCTGGAAGAGGGTGCTAGATCTTCTGAAACTGGAGTTATAGGTTCCTATAAGCTGCTATGTGGGTGCTGGGAACCTGAGTCCTGTACAAGACCAGTAAGTTCTGTAAAATACAGGTGTAGTGGTATGCACATGTAACCCTAATGCTGGGGGAGTGAGCTTGGTGGGACCCTGGCGCTCATGGCCAGCCAGCCTCCCTGAATCATTTCCAGGTTCAATGAGAGACGCTGCCTCAAAAAATAAGGAGAGCATTTGCGAAGATACCTTAGCGAGACCTCTGGATTCCATCAGCATGTGCACACGTGTGCACACGTACCCACAAACACAGAAAACATGACATGCACATGCGGAAACCAACAGCTTTCCTTGCAAATAGTGTATGTACAGCTTTGGTTCTAGACCTTGGCATGTAGTAGACATTATATAGTATATAGTTGTCCCAGCTGCTAATAATCTGTGTTTTTTTTTTCCCCACAAAGGACACTAGAAAATTACTTAGGGTTTTTCTTTTTGAGACAGGGTCTTATTGTGTATCTGTGACTAGTCTGGAATTGCTGTGTAGATCTTGAAATGAGAGATACTACTGCCTCTGCCTCTGATGGGATCAAAGGTATGCACCACTATATCCAGTCTTTTTTTTTTAATTTTATAAATGTTTATATGAGCTTTTAAGGGTACAGTAAGCTGGGCATGCTTGTAGTCAGCACTTACAAACAGAGGCAGGAGGACCAGGACTTACAGTTCAGCCTCCATTACATAGTTCCAGGCCAGCCTGCAGTATATGGGACCCTATCTCAGGAAATGAGGGAAAAAAGAGAAGAGGCATGTATGTGGTGCATATGTGCATACACGGACAAAACAGCAAGACACATAAACAGATAAAGTAAATGTTTTGAAAATCAAATATTATATTGGTATTCAATTTACTCCTCCAGCAGTTAGCACAAAAAGAAGCCTAGCAGAACCCCAAAATAAAGTTTCATTTAATGAGTGTTTATTGAACACCTGTACATAAGTTATATTATAGGATAATAGTTCTTAACTTTTGTTTGGGCCACAATTCACTGTGATAAATGTGGTAAGAGTTATGCAAATTTTCTGACCCACAAAAATGCATATGGGTGCATTATACATTATTGTAGGGGCTTTCCCCTCTTCTGAAGCCCATCTATAGACAGAAGATTAACTTTGCTCTGGAAGTTGTTGAACTTGAGGTCTCCAGCTTTTTGACTTTTAATTAAGGTATCAGGATAATAGTCTGTTAAAAATAAAATGGTGCCAAAGCCAGGCATGGTGGCACTCAAGAGGCAGAGGCAGAGCCAGGCGTGGTAGCACACACCTTTAATTCTAGTATTCTGGGAGGCAGAGGCAGGCAGATCTCTGTGAGTTTGAGGCCAGCCTGGTCTACAAAGTGAGTCCAGGACAGCCAGGGCTGTTACACAGATAAACCCTGTCTTGAAAAAGCAAAAAAGCCGTAATTCCAGCACTCTGGGAGGCAGAGGCACACATATCTCTATGAGTTTGAGGCCAGCCTGGTCTACAAAGCAAGTCTAGAACTTGCTAAGGCTACACAAAGAAACCCTGTCTTGAAAAACAAACAAAACAAAACAAAAAAGAGGCAGAGGTAGTTGGAATTTCTGGGTGTTCCAGGCCAGCCTGGACTATGGAGAGAAACCCTGTCTCCCTCCCACCCCCAAAAAGGTCCCAAGACCAGAGATACCCAAATGCAAAAGAATAAAGAGTAAATACTTGGATATCTGTATTTCATACCTGATAGAAAACAGGTATGAAACCAGAAAAGCAAGTAGAGGCCTCATGGGCTAAGTTTTAATACAAATGGAAGAAGCTGTATTGCAGTACAGTCAGCTTTGCTCCAGGGAGAACATAGCTTACTGTGATATGGAAGGTATCTGTAGAGCGGGACAGGGAAGCTCAGACTGCAGACTCTTCAGACACCAAGCAGCACTTCCAGAAGGCTTCCTTTAAGGGAAGGGACTTGGACAGTGGCCCTCCAGAAAAAACAGGCTCAATTCCCAGGACTCTCAAGGCATTGCTGCATGCACATGGTATACAGACATGCATGCAGGCAAACCAGCCGTACATTTTACTGGCTGGATTTAGGTGTCAACAGAGAGGAAGGAGCCTCAGGTGAGGAAATGCCTCGTGAGATCCAGCTGGAAGGCATTTTCTCAGTGATCAATGGGATAGGGCCCAGCCCATTGTGGGCGGTGCCTTACCTGGACTGGTGGTCCTGGGCTCCATAAGAAAGCATGTGAAGCAGACCAGTAAGCAGCACCCCTCCATGTCCTCTGCATCAACTCCTGCCTCCAGGTTCCTGCCCTGTTTGAGTTCCCGTCCTGATTTTCTTCAGTGAGGAGCAGCAGTGTGGAAGTATAAGCCAAACTCTTTCCTTCCCAACTTGCTTTTTGTTTGTGGTGTTTACATGGCAGCAATAAAGACCCTAACTAAGACACATGTTAAAAAAAAAAAAAAAAGACAAAAAAGACTGGTGTGCATTTAGTTCAACCATATGCATATGTTCAATAATTACACTATCTAACTGAAAATGTTGATTAAAAAAAGCACTCATGTAAAATACGTTGATAATTTTTCTTGTGAATTTGGTGGGCATTTAAA